ATGCAGTATTTCCATCCTCTGTTCTGAGGATTCCTTCCTGGCCTAAGTATAGATTTCATATAAGCTTAATCAAGTGTTCTAGGATTCCCATTTTCCTTAAATTTAGTCATAATTTTCTGTGATCCACAGAGTCAAGTGCCTTTGCATAGTCAATGAGAAACATATATACAATATATACATTCCTTTGGTACTCTTTGATTTCTGCCAAGATCCATCTAACATTGGTGATGATGTCTCTAATGCCACAACCTCTTCTATAACCAGCTTGTGTTTTTAGTAGTTCTCTGTCAATATAGTTTTCCGGTCATTTCTGGGTCATCTTCAGCAGGATTGTGCTAGCATGTGGAATTAGTGATATTGTTGGATAATTTCCACAATATGTCTGATAACCTTTTTTTTGGATTAGAAATAAATATGGATCTCTTCCAGTAAGTTACCCAGGTTGTTGAGGAGAAATGTGACATCAGAATTGAAGGAAGACTCATCAACAACCTACATTATGCAGATGAAACAACCATGCTTCCTAAAATTGAAGAAGACCTAAAAAGCTTGCTGCAGAAGGTCGCACTCTAGTCTTCAATATGGATTGAAGTTTAACATCAAGTCAAAGATTCTCACCACTGGGCCAGTTGGAAGCACCATGAAAGATCGAAAAGAGATTGAGGTTGTTAACAATTACAGCTTGCCCAGCTCCATAATCAACACTCTTGGCACCAGCAGTCAGGAAATGAAAAGATGAACAGCAATTGGAAAATCTCCTCTCAGGGACCTCTCCAGAGTTCTGAAAAGCAAAGATGTCAGTCTAGAGACTAAGGTGCACCCAATCCAGGCTATGCTCTTCCCAAGTATTTGCTATATATTAGAGAGCTCGACAATGTCTAAGGATGGCAGAAGAAGAATTGATGTCTTTGAGCTGTGATGGTGGAGAAGAGTATTGATTATTACATGGATTACCAATAGAACAAATAGGTTTGTAGTGGAGAGGGTGAAGCCAAGTTTCTCTTTGGAGGCAAAGATTTTGAAGCTCACCCTCACATTTTTAGACATGTTTCTCAAAGGGACGAGTCCTTGGAGAGGGACATCATGCTTGAAAGCGTGGAGAAAGGGCTAAGGAGAGAAAGACCCTGGATGAAACAGATTGACAGTGACCAGGACAATAAATGCAGGTGTGTCACAGACAGTGAGATTGGCTCAGGATAGGGCAAGGTGGTTCAGCGCTATTTGTGCATAGGGTAGCTACGAGTCACAGGCGACTCGATAACGTGTAACACCACCACACATTTACACAGTGCTAGAAACAGACTTTAGAAAACTTATAATACTGATGCACAATTAACTATAGTAACCAGTTAATCAAAATGTCCTAGAAATTCCAATTTAAGAGCGGCACAGCAAGAAGAATAAAGTGAAACATAGTGATAAAATAATTTGAAATCATCTCGGGCATGTCCTGGACTCACTACATATTTGACTCAAACTCTGAAACCTATTCATCTCCAGACAGGCATAAGAAACCATTTTCAGAATGATGACCCTGAAGCACTCTATCACATTATGAAATATCTTATCATCTTCACTTCAGTGTGCTTATTGAAGCAAGAAGATGGAATAATTTATTTTAGAGAGATACACAGCCAGAAAAGTTGGATTAAATGTGTTTTCTTCTTCACTAGAAATTTCTCTATATCACTTTTTAAAATTGTTATTATATGCCACTTCAGTTATAGAATCTTTCTGAAAATCTGTACCCACTCCCTTGAAATATACACTGATTGGCATATCTAAAATTATTTTAGAATAGCCAGAGATTCACTGTATTTAAACCCCCACTCTCACCCCTGCATCTTTATAAGTATTCTCATTCCAGAGAACAGTAAATAAAACAGATCAGGCTCAATTTACAAATTTGGAGGCAGAATCTAATGTTTATTTAACTAATTTTATTAAGCAAACAATGAGGGAGAATTTGCATCTACCATTGGGTGTAAAAAAAAAAAAAAGGAGGGGAGAGGGAGAAGTAAATATAGTCTTAACACATTCTCTCTGTGCAAACTGGCCCAGGGCTATGTTGTTTCTACAAAAAATGTGAATTTAAAAATATTTTAACTCCCAGGAATATGCTTCATGTTATAGAAATAATGTTAAAAGTAAAATAAAAGTCATACTATAAAGAGATACAAGACCTATATAGTTGTACAAGGTGCTAATATAAGAAACTTGGAATCAGGAAAACCTTTTATTTATTATATATTTTTAAGCTATCATTATTATTACAGAGTGAATGTTGTTCTTGCCAAATATTTGCAAATGCCTTTAAGACATATGAAGAACATTATTGAGGAAGGGTGTATAATCTCATTGGAAAATAGTAGAACCATCTCATTCCAACTGTTAACCCCTTTCTAGGAACCTTTCTTTGAAGGTCTGAATTCCAGATCCCCACTCTCTATTCTGGGGTAAAGAACTTCCTAGTCTCACTGATCAAGGCAGAGGAGTTAAAAGAAAAGTAAAGACGGGGTAATAGTAGCCATTGCATCAGAGAGTTGGACAATGACCAAGGAGGATAGAAGGAGAATTGATGCCTTCGAGCTGTGGTGCTGGAGAAGAGTATTGAGAATACCATGGACTGCTAGGAAAACAAACAGATTTGTCCTGGAAAGGGTTAAACCGGGTGGCTCCTTGGAGGCAAGGATTCTGAGGCTGCGTCTAACATACTTTGGACATGTTGTGAGGAGAGACCGGTCCTTAGAGAGGGACATCATGCTTGGTAGGGTGGAGGGACGGCGCAAGGGAGGAAGGCCCTCTATGAGGTGGATTGATTCGGTGACTGGGATAATTGGGATGGGAGTGTCAGAGACAGTGCGATTGGCACGGGACAGAGAGGAGTTTAGGGCTGTTGTACATAGGGTCACTATGAGTCACAGGCAACTCGATGGCACATAACAACAACAACAACTATAGTAGCCATAGATCAATGTTGATTACTTTTATAAAACACAATGTATGTGAGTGATCATTTGAAGCACAATGTACATATAGGAATGTGTCAAATGCAATGTTCTCTAATTACATACAATGCATAAATATTTTTATGAAAACAAAAGTAAAAGAAAAAAGACAAAAAATTGATCACTATATGCAATTTACAATAAATAATAACATAGAAAATGTGTAAAGGACAGGGAAAATATACCACTAAACTAAAATTAAATAGTTGGTGTAAGTCTACTGGTATCTATTATAATAGACTCTAAATAACCAGAAAACTTCAATTTTCCAGTAATGTGTGAAAGTTTTGAGTTTGTATGTACTTGTTAATAAGACATCAATGATATCCAATACAAAAAATTAACAGGATCTGTAAGAAGGGGGGAAAAAATCTCTTCTCTTAGCTCCTATTCTTAATTATACCTATTACAAACCCTTCAAAATACAAAAATTTGGAAAAATTTACAGAAGAAATTATTTTTAATAAGTGAGGGACAATGGAGGAGAGATAAAAGGATGCCAGGGTGGGGGAGGGGGAGGGCAAGGAGGCAGCATGACCCATTCCACGACGCTAGAGGAATGAGAAGCCACGTTAATACCATCATTGTAGTATAATAACTTAAGTTTGGTAACAGTGCATTTATAAACTTGATTGTTATCATGTAATGTGGAAAATATTTGGAGTAATGTAGCTTATCTATTGCATAAGTACCTTAGAAAAATTGCCAAATAAACCAAAAATGTTTAGTGAAGATATTTATTTGGAATTCTAAGTAAATCATTAGTTGAAAAATAATGCAACAGAATAAGAAATAGTTATCATTAATTATTCATGATTTAATAGCTCTAACTAGCCAACTGCATTTATGAAAAAAAGGAAAGTAAAATATGAAAAAAAACGGTGCTAGTGAAACTGTTGAAAATAAGATAAAGATTAAAAAAAACCTGTCAAATATTATTTTTTTTCTGACTTTGTAATGACCTTTGAGTTCTTGTAGAATATTTTTAATGTCTTTATAACTTCTTAATATTGTCATATCTTTACTGTTGTTAATGTGCATTGAATCAACAACTCAAAGCAGTCCTATGAATAATGGCCCTGAACCTTGTCCTATCAGGAGACAATTTTACCATCTTTAACACACCTGACCCCATTGCTTCAGTCACTATGTCCATTCATCTCATCCACAGTCTTCCTCTTCTGTGCTGACCTTCTAACCTTGTAAGCCTGATGTCCTTCTCCAAGGACTAGACCCTCCTGGCAACATTCCCAAATTATGTGAGATGGAGCTTCAAAATTCTTGCTTCTAATTAGCAAATTGGATTCACACTCTCCAGGATTGATGTACGTGTTTTATAAGGCTAAGATTATCCTAAATCACTTCTTATTCTAGATTGATTTTACTTAGCACCAGTCAATTTCTAGGTAGGTTTTTGTCTTCAATAGATGCAAATCTATTTCGTATGCAGGTAAACACATTTATGAATAAAAAGAAATTTTATTATCAGTTCAGACAAAGTGTACTTAGAAATAAAAATGAGTTAGAGAAGTTTGGATTAATATCAGAATCAAATAAGTGTGTGTATGTAGAGATTATTTCTTTGTTAAAATTCTCAACCATATATTTCTTATCACTACATCATTATATGCCAGAATGTTCTTGAAGGCAAAGATGATAAAGCTTCCTCCCACATACTTTGGACCTGTTGCTTAGAGACATTATTCATTGATGAGAGACATGATGCTTGGGAAGGTAGAGGGACAGCAAAAGAGAGGAAGACCCTCAACCGATGAATGGAAAAAGTGATTGCAACAGTGGACACCAGTATGTCAAATAAGATGAAGGTAGCATAAAACAGAACAGGTTTCACATCTGCTGTTGACACAACAGCAACAATTCATTATAAAACCAAACTTACTTATGGCCAGCATTCCAAACTTGTATCAAGTTTATGGGTGTGAAAATACGTTCTTTGATTTATATAAAATTTGCTTGAGATCTAAACCTTACCTCATTCTGAAGATCTCGGATCATTTTCGTCTTCCTTTCCACTTCAGTTTTTAAAAAATTTATCTGAAAATAAATAGAAGATTATGTAGTTACATAGCCAATAATTTGCTCCCAAAGCCTAAAGACAGCATTTTCCTAGAGCAAATGTCTATTACTTGAAATTAAAACCTTCTAAAGTGTGAGTAAAGATTTTTTTTTGTTATTTAAACCACATGAAAGTCATATTTATAGTATAGCAACGTTAAGAAACTAAGTCACAGGGTAAGGAATATAATACAGCCTATCAATTAATGTTGCTGTTGTTATGTGTTGTCAAGTCACCTGCAACTCACAGCTACCCTACATACAACAGTAGGAAACCCTGATCTAACCTGTGCCAATCTCACTGTCTCGAACATTCTCCCATTACTCCAGTCAATGAATCAAATCATCTCATAGAGGGTCTTCCTATCCTGCACTCTCCCTCCACTTTCCTAAGCATGACGTCCCTTTCCAATCACTGTTCCCTCCTTACAACATGTTCAAAGTAGGTCAGATATGCTTCTGAACCCATGCCTCCAAGAAACAGCCTGGTGGAGTTTTTTGGTTGTTTTTTTCATTGTTGCACTTTTCTCCCCACCCACTCACCCCCACCGCCACTCCCAGTTCGCTCCTCTCCTTGAAAAGCAAAAGAAAAACTCCTTCATTGGTACACAATCCCCATCCCCGACGCCCGCACCTCCACACTCCCACCCCAAGTATATTCCACTCTGCAACCCTCATTCCGGACTCTTATGATAATCATAATGCCCTAAAATATATTAATTTTAAACTATTCTCTCCCTCATCGGCTTCAATGCAGTAAACATAGTTTATCCTGTTTTTCTCAGTCTTACCCCCACCCCAATGTCAGCCTCATTCTACAACAGTGGCACCATATAATATTTGTCCTTTTGTGACTGAGATATTTTACTCAGCATAATGTCCTCCAGGGTCACCCATTTTGAATAATATTGCATGAGTTCCTTGTTTTTCAAAGCAGCGTAGTATTCCATTGTGTGAATATACCACAGCTTCTCTATCCACTCTTTTGTTGATGGGCACTTAGATTGTTTCCAACTCCTTGCTATTGTAAACAAAGCCGCGATAAACATGGGTATACATATATCTACTTGGATGTCATTTATGGTCTCTTTAGGGTATATTCCCAGTAGCGGAATTGCTGGGTCAAATGGCATCTCTATTTGCAACTTTTTGAGAAAGCGCCATACCTCTTTCCACAGTGGTTGCACCATTTTACACTCCCACCAACAATGAATAAGGGTTCCAGTCTCTCCACAACCTTGCCAGCATTTGCTGCTAGCTGGAACAGCCTGGTTTAACCCTCTCCACAAACTTGTTTGTTCTCCTAGCAATCCATGGTATATTCAATATAGTTCTCCAGCCCCACAGGTCAAAGGCATCAACTCTCCTTCTATCCTCCCTAGTCATTGTCCAGCTCTCTGATGCACAGCCAGTGACTACAAAGACCATGGCCTGTTTTAGGCACACCTTAGTCTTCAGACTGACATCACTGCTCTTCAGTACTTTGGATAGGTTAGGCATCTTGGATTTTCTTGGGATATCTGGTTTTCAAACCATTTGACTAGTTAGCAGCTAGTCAAAAACTGGTAACTACATCACATCTGATTTTTGGTTTTTATTTTCCTTAAATTTCCATTAAATGCCTTGCAGCACCCTCATGTTTCTGGCTTGTGATGGTAATAAAACCTTGAACCAAACTCTTTTTTGGTGGTGAAACATTTTAAATTAAATCAGTACTTTGAAAACTATCATGTCCATTGCTTTAGCCATACTGATTTTCCTGATTTATTTGAACTGAAGAAATAGAGACAACAACTTAAAACCACATGTCACACCCACTATCTCCTGAAGTAGGTTGAAGATGGTTGAGGAAGAAAAAACCCTAATAAAATAATAACAAAATTTTTTAAAATATCCCCAAAAAGTTGTTGAAACTATTCAACAGTAAGAAATATATACAGAGCAGTAGCATTCCTCTAAGTACAGCTTAACATGTTGTTATGTGCTGTTGAGTCACTTGCAGCACATAGCAACCCTAAAACTGCTCTATCTTGTGACAACCTTATTGTCTCTGGCACACCAATCCCCATTAACCAAGTCACTGAATCAGTCCATCTCATTGAGGGTCTTCCTTTCTTTTGCCGCCCCTCCACCCTTCCAAGTATGTTGTCCCTTTCAAAGGATTGTTCTCTTCTTGCAACATGCCCAAAGTATGTCAGACAAAGCTTCAGAATCCTTGCCTCCAAGAAGCAGCCTGGTTTAACCCTCTCCAGGACAAATCTGTTTGTTATCCGGGCAGTCCATGGTATATTCAACACTCTTCTCCAGCATCACAGCTGAAAGGCACCAATTCTATTTCTATCATCCCTAGTCATTGTCTAGCTTTTATAAGAAAAACAAGCAATTGCACAAAGTTTCACATGCGTGTGTTCTGATCACATTAGTGTGAGTATGTGTTTCTCTTTTTGTTTCTTATTTCATATTAATGGTTTTAAAGAGCCCAAATCCAGACTTTTATACAATTGGATCATGAATGTGGTACAGACATAAATGACCGAGAATCTTGGGTACAGACTTGGGCTTTCTCACTCTACGTGAAGGTGGAACAGTGCATAGTTCTAGATGAGCTACACAGACCAGTATTCAGCATCTACACTCATATCATACATGTACCTTATTAGTAAAAGAAACTTTTTATATGCCACAAGTTCATCTTTAGGTTAAGGCATGAATTAGTTACCTATATCTTGTTTATGTTAATCACCTACTTATTCACAAATACCTCTATATTCCCTGAATCTTTACATTTTTTTACTGTTCACTATTTGTTAAAGTTAGTTTTAAAATAATTTATTAAAAGGAAATGTATTGAGATAGTAATACTATAGTCATTTAAATGTTAATTTATAAAGAAATATTCTGAAAATGTAATGTGTAACTGTTCAAGGCCTACAATGCCATTTTTTTTTGCTATTTTTAAAAGTACTGTTCTATATGAAACAGAATTGGTCTACAGTACAAGCAGACAACAACCAAGAAAAAATTTACCATTATTTTTAGGTGTCTTCCAGTCAACTAAGACTCACACGTTTCTGAACATTGTCTTATTCTGTGACAACCTCTTCACCTCTGATATTTTTAGCCCATTGTTACAATTACTGTACCAAATCATCTTTCTTTTGTTATTCTTATTCATTGTTATTCAAATTTTAGATGCATAGAAAGCAATTGGAAAGACTATGGCTTGAACCAGGTACATCATGGTTTTTAAACTGACATCTTGTACTTTAGCACTTTGCAGAAGTCCCTGACAGGAGATTTTTCACAATGCAGTGCATCTTTGGATTTCTTGACTGATGATAATGTGAGTGTTGATTGTGGATCCACGTAAAACTAATTTCTTTAAAACAGAATTTTTTTTTCATCTATTACCACAGGGGCAATTTGCAGCATCATGATGGATGGTGAAGAGATTGAGATTGTAAACAGTTTTAGTTTGCATGACTCCACAATCAACAGTCTTGGCACCAGCAGCCAGGACATTAAAAAACATACTATGTTGGGAAAGCCAGCTGTTAGAGACCTTTCCAAAGTACTGAAGAGCAATGATGCCATTCTGGAGACTAAGGTGCAACTGTTAAAGGCCATGGTCTTTGCAATCACTTGCTTTGCATCAGAGAGCTGGACAATGACTAGGAATTATAGAAGGAGAATTGATGCCTTTGAGTTGTGGTGCTGGAGAAGAACTCTGAATATACCATGGACTGCTAAGAGAACAAACAGGTTTGTCCTGGAGAGGGTTAAACCAGGCTGTTCCTTGGAGGCATGGATTCTGAAGCTTCATCTGACCGGCTTTGGACATGCTGTAAGGAGAGACCAACCCTTGGAGAGGGACATCATGCTTCGGAGGGTGGAAGGTCAATGCAAGAGAGGAAGACACTCAGTGAGATGGATTGATTGAGTGACTGGGGTAATGAGGGGAAGGTGTGTCAGAGACAGTGAGCTTGGCGCAGGATAGAGCAGAGGTTAGGGCTGTTGTACATAGGGTCTCTAGGCGTTTCAGGCAACTCAACAGCACATAGAAACATCATGCTATTGAATATTGGTCCAACAGTGAAGTTTGGTTTTCTTGATGCAAAAATATACTCTATATTGAAGGCTATGGTCTTTAATCTCCTGAATCAAGTCTTTCAAGTTCTCTTCTTCACTTTCAGCAAGCATGGTTATTTCATTTGCATATTATAGGTTGTTGATGAGTTGTTTAGTAAAAATAAGAATCCCAAAACACTTCATTTTTGTCATGTGATATCTATACCTGGACCAAGAAGCTGTTGTTATTTTGGTTCCTCTAACAAAGAACAATGGAATATTACATGGTTTATAATAAAAAACAGTGTGTATTAGGATTGTATTCTTTCTGTAAGCCTATTCAATCTATATTCTGATCAAATTATTAGAGAATTTGGACTATATGAAGAAGAACGTGGCATCAGAATTGAGTAAAATCATCAGCATTCCTGCAAGATGATTATGAAATTTTCTCAAGTGCACAAAACACAATTATTTATTGGAATGGAAGAACATAGCGATTTTTATTCTTAATCTTAATGAATCAAAGCTTGAAGCCAATTTTTACCTTTAAACTAATTATGTCTCAATTAGCGAAAGTTAAGCAATAAAAATTAACAGGAATAGCAAAATGCATCCAATGAACATTAATATCTTTAATTGCTCTGGCTACAGCTGAAAGCTCATTTGGCCTTGGTATCTATTAAGATTTTTAATGAGGAGCACATCAAAGAAAGATTTACTATCCCATAATTTTCTCAGACAAAAAGCAAATGTGTTAACTTTCATAAAAAGTATTTTCCCAATATATTTAGAAAAATAATTCATCAATAAAATGAAAAAATATCTTTGGGATACAATATGAAACATTTCCTTTATATTTTTGTGTATTCTAATACCTTTAACTTTAGCATACAACATATGTAAGTTTT